TTGTAAGTGAAGCTGTGGGTTTGGGGTTGTTTTGGGTTTATTTATAGATCTGTACATTGTGGAGAGATGCTGACTTTCTGAGAATGCTAATGATTGTCATAACAGTCCGTAACAGAGTGGGAATGCTGTGGCATTTATAAAAAGAAAGGTATAACCTGAAGAATGAACCTAAACCACCATCACAGTGGAGGAAAGTTCAGCTGTTCAATGAGTGTTATAGGGCTACAAAACATTCATATTTCAAACTATTTAAAGATAGGACCTAGAAGCTTGGAGATCAGTGTTCTCCAGGTAGTTAATGTAACCTTCTACTGATCTTGACTTGGAATTTTATTGATTTCAATATAGTCCTTGCAATAACAATTGATTCCTTCTGTTGCATAATTTTCATTTCTAGAAAGCTGCTTTACTGAATAGTTGTGGGGTTTTTATGAAATGAAATAAGAAACTAAGTAACAATTTAAAGTAATTGTGTTTTTAAAGAGCAGTAAGGACTAGTCTGGAAGGATATAAGCGGCATATCAGACAGGTGCATCACTCTGTACTTCCTTTTAAAACCAAACATTGCTTCTCTTTCCTTGTTGTTTTCATAAATAGCAATTCTGAGGTATCAGAAGCATCGTTGCAGATAGCTGTCCATTGCTGATGGTCCCTCGCATGATATTAAGCCTGAGTGGGAGTACCTCTTCATAAAAACTAAGTATATTAAAAAAGAAACATAAGTGCAGTTTGGAGTTCTGTGTAGCATCAGCCTAAAACCAGTGCTTTTACTGAGTCAGTCTAGTATGAAAGTAAAAACTTTCTTTTACAGTATGTAAATTTGGTGAACTATGCATCCATTGTGTCATACTTTTAAGCCAGATTTTTACAAGTAAAAAGTACCAGTGGTGATTTCTCCTCTTTAAGAAAAGTCAGTCAATGGAATAAATTTATCTAGTAAAGGAAAATTGACTCCAATATGTAAACTTTCTTTTTTTTTTTAGCTTGATAACTGAGGGATTTTGCTTCATTGGAAAGTATATTGTGAAAAATAAAAAGTCTGAGCAATGGCATTTAGTATGTCATTTCCTATAACCCTGGGACATTATTTAAATTCAGCAATTCTGTTTGGAGTTTGACTCTTATTATTTGTGCAGAAAAGTTTATTCAGTCACTGAACTATAATGTTGCTATAGTAAGTAGAAAGCAATTTTCTCATTCCAGCTGGAAAAGGAAAGACAGGTGGCTTTTTATTTTTAACCTTCAAAAAGGACTTGCTGGATGAGGATTTCTTTAAAAGAAAATCAGTTGTGATGCTTTGTTCTTGAAGAGCTGTGTTTTCATTAGATTTATTGTAGGAGTGATGTTTTGAGATGACAGTTGAGAATGTAAGTGCAAAATCACAGAGACAGAGAACATATGTTATGTAGAAGGTGTTTTCTAGCTACATAAAGCAAGTATAATATTTTATAGTACTTGGGGTAGAATGATTATTAGTCTTTTGAGTATGCTAATTGCACAGAAAATGGAGGGAGCGTGTTAACTTTTTCTGCCTTAAATAGGTAGCTGCACGTGTATGAGGCTGGCTAGGTTATGTAATCACAGCATCAAAGAGTAACCACAATTTTAATGTGGAATGTTTTTGTTATTTCACTCTTGATTCCTATGCTGGATTATATCAGTGTGCTGCTGTTAAGATGTTATCCTGTATCCTCAAGGGATTGTAAATCTATGAACCGTATGGTTCTTTCTTCTTAATTGCTCATTTTGCTCATACCACTTTGCAGCTGACCTGTTAAGTTAACCTCTAGACTTCATACCCAAAGAAATACAACAATCTGTGTTTGGATTACAGTAGTAAATACTTACAATTTTGTCAGCCACTGACTAGACTTTATTTTCATGTCTGCTTATCCTAGCATAGAATATCAAAATAGGTGCTATATGATGCTTGACTTTGTGCCTTTGGTGGGAGTGTGCAAAAGAATGATGCTTAGCAACTTCTGAGTGCAATAAATGAGAATTTATCATTATTGACTCTGTGTAAAAATCTTGGGGAGGAAGAAGAGTAGTGGTTTTATAGAAATACTACAGGTTTTTAGATCTGCAGGAAACGTAGTTTTATTTTTCTTGGTAAGCCTTCACTGGCTTTCTTCTTTCAACAGTTCAGTCACTCAACTCATTAGAGAATTTAAACTTTTAAGTTTAATTTAAACTTTTAAGTTTAAATTATAGTAAAATTTAAGGGTGTATTTGCTGGAAGTGGCAAACTATTTTTTTTGAAGGCATAGGCAGTGCACATACAGGCATGTGTTTTAGTCCATTCTAAAGTATCTGCCTTCATGTTTGGGGAATCTGTTCACAGAGTTTACATATGACAATTGTCTTTTGACTGTCTTCCTATATTTTTTTATATAAGGCAAATCTGTCAGTTTTAGTAGACTGATAGTATTCTCTTTCAAAGCTGTCTGTCAACAATTTATGTGTCTGTATCTTTGTGAAATGCATGATGAAGATTTTATCAAGTTTGTTTTAGCGCTATGACACCTTTGTTTGGTTCTCAGATATGTAAACTCTGGTTTAGTGTCATTATCACCGACTGCCTCCGAGAATTGTAGGTAAGGGAAGTTGGAGTTTTTGATTTGTTTGAATTTTTTGCTTTTTTGTTTCAGGTTTTATTTTTGAGAGTTGAAGATGTCTGTCATGGGCAAAACAGCTTTGACTTAGGGAATTTAATTCATTGCCAGTTAGCATAAACATTTAATAACCTATTCAGGTATTGAGAAACATGGAAATGCGGAGGGAAAACAGCTTTCCTCCACCTTTCCCGGGCTCAGCTTCACTCCAGACCTATCTCCTTCCTCCTTCCTGATCTCCACTCCCCTGTTACTGTCGCAGGTTACACTGTGTCTCTTTGGAGGGCGGAGGGTGGTGCCGATTTGGATTAGTATATAGCAGTTTCTGTCTGCTGCTGCTTGTGCCTTACTCTATTTAATTCCAGCCCCCTCTCCCCCCACTGTACTTTGCTTCTTAGTGGTGTCCTCTGCTCCAGTGTAGGTTCCGCCATGGGCCTCAGCCCTTTTGTGGGCATATCTGCTGTGGCGTGGGTTTACAAGCCACAGCCGCTTTGACCTGGAATTTCATTTATAGTCTTCCGATGTTTAATTTCACTGTTGTGGAAATTATGCATCTGGTCAGTTCAGTTTTATATAGCTGGTTTCTGTAGTTTGTTTGAGGATCAGTAACAGAATTTGTAAACAGGTCAATTCAATTCGTTGTTTGTTAATTTTGCTTCTTTACTATTGACTTGATGCCTGATGAATTATGATCACGTCTTTCTGTGTTACTTTGTTTAGAGAGTTTTGTACGTTGAACAGTGTTTCCGTTCTTGGTACCTCAAGAGAATGGGTGTGAGTCTTCATGCAAGTCTGTTTCTAAGAGTTGCAACTACTTTCTTTTTACAATGTTGAGATTCTGTTGTTGGCTCTTCCCAAATTGCAACATAAAAATTGGCAAAGAACCTTTTTGTTTAAATGGGGATGAACAATGAAAATGTTATGGCAGCAGTGAATGGGTTCTGTACACAGAGGAACTGTTCCTGTTTCTAGATGGTATCTCTGCATTTTATATGCAGGTCAGCAGTGTGAATAAACTAACTTTTACAATGAAAACTTACATTCTTAAAATAGGATTGTGAAAGCAAAAATGAGGGTTAAAGTAGATGACATTAGGAAATTGGAGAGTTGCCCAAGCATTTTGAGTAATTCAGATCTAGCGATTTATACTTTTTTTTAGTCAGAGTGGATAATAGCAGAATTATTTCATTCATGATTCCAGTCTGAAAGCACTGTGTGCACTTCAAACAGTTCAGATGTATCCACTCTTTTTAAAATTTTTTCACCACTCTTACTAATGCTGATTCTGTGCTTTCTCATTCTGACATTTCAGAATGGTATGCTCAAATGGAAAACCAATGGAGAGTTCACCATTGCAAGAGTTCAAACTTCAGAAATTTTAAATTGTAAATCATTGAGTACTGTTAATTTAATGCTTAAAAACCGTACTTTGTGCTTGAGGATCTTGCTAACTCTTAATAAAAGCCAAAATTTTGTGTACATAAATGCATCAACTTGTAATTCAGGCCTGAACTGTAAGTTTCAGCAAATGCTAGCATAAGAAGTATCCGAAACAAAAGCACTCTGTCATCTTCATTGAAAGCAACTAGGACAGGATATGCTAATGTTGGAGGTGCTAAACATACAGCCAAGTTGACAATGGGTATTTGACAAGTTCTCAGGCAGGTTAACCAGCTACCATGGTGCGAAAGAGCAAGTGTACTCTCACTCCATTTTATGTTTGTAAGATATCTGAGCACATGTGCTTCTGTAAGCTGAAACGGAAAACACTGGTTTTGTTTACGTTATCTGCAAATACTGCTCTATTCTGGGCTATTTTGCTCTGTCACATTTGTGTCTTGTTTTGAGTTTATTTTTTAGGTCATTAATAGAAGTGAAATTCTGTTACTGAAGTTTAACTTCGAAAGGGCACATTTCAGTTTCTTACTATACTTTCTAACTACCACTGTGTGACTATCCATGCAGTATATATCTTGCATTTGTCAAAGTGAAAGATAAGTAATTTATGCTTTAGAACTTGTAGAACTCATTACGTCTTCAGAAGACAGTGCAAAAATAAATCTCAGAAAGGGATCGTAGAGGAAGTAATTGAAAGCTGAAAAAACAGCATGCCCGTTGCAGAGAGAAGAAAAATTTTTGTGTGTTCCTGGCTCTCAGACCTGTGCTTAATCACCCATTTCATTTTCAGTTATTTGGGCTAATTATCCGCAAGATGGGCCACACTTTAGTTGTTATGCTACTGTAACTAAATTATCTTTGGAAGAGTTACACAGATCACAGCAGAAAAAAAATTTGCCATATGATTGTTCATCCCAAATTTAATATCTGTGTATTAATAACTCCATTAATGCCTACTGTTCATTCAGACACTTTTGTATTTTACAGATTACTGCTCAGTTGTAACACTTGTGGACCCATCAAATGTGAAGTTAACGTGCACTCTTTTTAATGGAAATCTGGATTCTCTACCAAAAATTTACAAAGTTGGAGATATTGTTCGTTTTCATAGAATAAAGGTACGTACTAGGATGTGGGGGGTTTATGTGCTTGCTTTTGTGCAGTGAGAGGACTGTAGGAATAATTTAATTCTTCATGTACTGAAAGTAACACATGGAGACACTGGATAAAGCGATTGATAAAACAGCTATGGTTATGGTATGGACCGAAACTGGAAATAAGCTATCGAATTTTTTAAACACCAGAGCACTAAACTGATATGTCTCTTTAAAAAAGTGTTCTCTTTTAAAAAAGTGTGGTTATGACAACTCCAGAACAGCATTTTTTTTGAGTATTTGTTAAACTAGTTGACAAAATTCACATGGTAATAGTTCTAGATGAACAGTTAAACTGGCATAAATGTGCACAATTCACTCTGCCTCAAACTAACAGAACTGAGGGATTGCTTTAGATCTTCTGCTGTGGAGCAGTTTAGATCAGCCGGAGAGTTACTCAAGTACATCTAATCTATCTGGCCTTGTTAGTGTGCAATACACTCTAGCTGCCGCTCCTATTTTCCTACCTTATCCCATATTTATCTGTGTTAAAGGCCGTCAATGAAACAGTGTTTCCTAACTTTAGTACTTTCTGCTGGATGTTTTTCTCATGCCTGCTGCAACTGTATAGGGAAGAGGAACCATGCTGCAGAGACTGAATAGAAGTATTGTAATGCTGGACCATACTTAAAGAGGTGCAGAGTAGTACCCAAGACATGATTTTACCAAGTTACTTATTAATTTGCAAGATAACCATACATGATTATATATTTTATTTTTGCTGAAAATAATTATAGCAGAAATTAGTAAATGTCCTGAAAGAGGCCAGTTAAAAAACAGTTTGCATATTTGAACACTCGAGAGATCTAGGAAATTTAGGATTGTACAAAGGGATGATGAAAAGGATAAAGATTAGTGATACTAATCATGTAATCATGTATGTTTTGATATGCCGTAGCAGGAGAACATGTATATTATAAACATTTACAATTGAGAGAGAAATTAGCTAACCTATTCTGGATTAGTATAAAGCTTCTTTAAGGTCATCTTTATGTATAATTGGAGTGGAATGAAACTATATTTAGATTTTGAAGCTTGTATTGCTAATCAGTACCTGAGATGTGTTGTTAGTTATGGGAGTTCATTGATTTGACTTCAGATGGGAAAGTCTTATGCTAAATTTTAAATTCTCTCTGAGTCCAGGAGGGTGAGTGTTACACAGTTACACTCATTTCTGAGATTCAGTGAAAGTAGAAAAATGTTTATTGCTTCTGAAATCAAAGTACATATTTTACAATATATGTGTGAAAAAGTACAAAGTAGAAAGGATCCTGATTAAAATAAAAGAATTGAAAAGTTGCATGTCTGTGGTAGGTTAGTGTTGGATTTTTTTGAGATGTGGGAAGTACAAGTTAAAAAAAACAAACAAGACCACTGTCAGGGAAGTTATGTATGCATCCTCTTTTATGCAAACATAATAGTGTCTCAGCTCCACTACTTTATATTTAATATAAACTTATTAAGGAAACCTATTGATACAGCACACATAAGGAACGTCACCATTCTCCTGATTTGGCATCAGATTTTTTTGGAGATCATTCTAAAATCCTTATCAATTGGTAATTCATTGTTCTCAAAGATGATGTTTCGGTATTTAAAGATAGGGTCCGTTAATTTCCACCCCGCATACACTCTTTTTTTTTTTATCCCTTCATCACAGCTGAGCTGTTTTAAGTGGTTTCCAGCCCGAACTGACCTCCAGCTGCTCACAATCTGTATCTTCTCAGATGCATAAGCTGACACCTTGTTTAATTACTTTCAAAGTTAGAATAATCTAGAGTCACCAAGTTGTCTTTTTCTGGATGGGAATGTTCTGACTCCCCCAGGCTAACAAACTGCTACTTTAGAAGTTTTCATATCTGATCTGAGCAGGTAAAAATCTGACACAGAAGCCTGGTGCCAGCTGCTGGGAGTAAACTGAGAGGAGGGTGACCTCTTCCTCTCTTTCACCTATAACCAGCATAGTATGTGTGATTGCTGTGCAACACAGTTTTCAATTAAAAAAAGAAATTAACTCTACTGAGAGTTCTAATTACATTGGCTGCAGTGCCTCCTTCACTCTCTTCTCCTTTAGTCTTTGGGCCTTATCACTTTCTCTTAGCTTGCGGAACGGAAAGCAGTCGAGGGTAGCAGAGGCCATAGTCTGTCAGAGCTGTGCTTAGCAATGAGTACAGGTATACATGGTTCTTGCAGCATGTATTCACATATCTGTGTCCTAGATATGCTTTTGAGAGACTTCCAAGAAGTCAACATTGATAGCAGGCACATTTGAAAGATGACTGCTCCCTGCTACACACTCTCAGCTGCTAATGAGTAACTTCTCTTTGTAGTAACATGGGTGTTGGCGAGGTCTCATGGTTCAGAGCTAATAAGAATTTAGTGGAGAGGATTCTGTTGGGATTACTCTGGGTAGAGAGTCATTTTATATGCTCAGTATTTATTGCAGAGAATGAAAATTTTAAGTGTCTTAGTAACAGAACTGAAAGACTATCCAGTTTTAATTACATTTATGTTAATATTTCTTGAAATGCCCTTTTATGACTTCTTATGATTTCTCATTAATTATAGTACTTAGTGATTTGCTTTACTGTATTTGGGCCTTCAATCACAGTCAATGCTCTGCAGAGATGGCAGTTGGGGGGATCCCCCCAGCCCCCAGTATAAAAGCTAGGCCAGTGATCTGATTGTCTAGCCTCCTTCCATCTTCATGGCAAAGAAGGAGTTATCTCAAGTGGAGTTTTCTTTGAACTTTTTTTTTCCTGGTTCAATGTGGATGTTCTTAATATCTTAGACTTAACACTGTATATTTATGCTGTTAAAGAGAAGGAAGAGGCAACTTTCTGGTACTGACTAAATCTGCAACATTTTATCCTCACTTGACTTAGGGGTTTTGGTGTACATTCTGCCCTTGTATTACTTAAACCCTGCTATGATGACAGAATTATTAATTTCCCTATGGACTTTTCTCTAGTATTCCTTATTACATCTGAGTGATTCACAAACAAGAATTTATTTCTTCACTCCAAGTGAAGTGAGTTGGTATTTGGTTTCCATTTTAATGTTTGAGAATTGGAGAAAAGCAAAGCACATTCTTATTTAGATATTCATCTTGTTCAGCGTACTCTAGTTGTCTGATACAGTCACTGTCTAGGATGTGTTTTGCTGGATCTTTTTCCAGAATCCACAGCATTATAGAGCTGTGTGACTCGTGGAATATTTAGAAATGAAGACCAAAGGAGTGACCTCTCATTACAAACTTTACTTATGTGACTTCCTCAACGTAACACAATCCCTGCAGGAATTACGAAATCTTAATTCTCAAGCTTTTTGTCATAATAATCTTGATACTACTCTCTTACTTTCGCGCCTTAACTACTTCTGTGCATAGGCTCCGGTTGCTATAATAAATGAAGTAGAAGTCTTAAAGATGACAGCTGCTTTGTTACATGGCACTAAGTGATCACCACAGTAATTCTCAAGTCATGCACTGCATAGGAAAAAGTCTTCTAGAAAAATAGTGTAATGGAATGGGGTATTGTAATATAAATGCACCATGAGCTGAACTGTGTTTGAACAGACAGCAAATAACTGTGTCATCTACCAACTTTGGAATAATTATGGTTTGTTATTCTAGTGTTAGAGCTTTGCAGTTAGATGTGGCATCCTAGATCTTTAGAATAACAAAAGGGAGAAAAACAGCAAGAAAATACAAATTCTTTGCATGCTGTCAATTGCATATTTATGTGGTTCAAACTCTTTAGATTTACAATATAAACACATTGCTGCTTTGAGCAAAAGTACTTTATAGCCATTATATAGATGGTTATTCCTGCCGTAGGTCAGTCAGTGGACAAGTACAAGATGTATGTTTTGCTAGTGGGTTTCTGAGCTGTTTACCTGTCCACGGAGGAGTAGGAATCTGAATATCAAGCACATGGAGCGTGGCTTCATATAAACATAGAAGGACCAATCACACTGCTTTTTTTGTTATCCTTGCTAGGTCTGTCCTACCTCTCTTCTTGGCCATCATTCTCCTTAACCTAATAATACTTAATGTAGCATTTGTTCCATTAAGTTACTTACTCTGATCTTTAAATCAGTCTGTCATTATTTCTAGGAGCAGTCTTATTTCTGCACTTTGCTAGCCATTTTCTTGCCTCTGTGTATTCTCTCCTTTAGTTTAATCATTTTGTCCCATGAAAGTTGATTCCTTCTTCTTGTTTCTACCTGATGCAATATGGAAGGCACTGAGAGAGAGACATAGAAGTATCTGCTCAGCTTTTTATTCCTAGGAAGCTATGGCTGTAATTGTCAGGTTGATAAGAACGAGAGGGGAAAGTCTGGAGCTTAGACGTAGAACATACTGAGTGAACATTAAACTTTGGCAGAATTTAGCTGCTACAATCTTAGTGTCCTCTGAGTAAGTGTGGACCAAATATATAAACTTGGCCAAAGTTAGATTTGAGACTTTTTGCTAAAAAGGATGTCAAAGCACATGTTTTCTGTGGCACTGCAACTCTGTTTTCAAATTCTTGCTCTGAAGCAATTAAAATTTTTTTAGTAAACAATTATAAGATTCTATTCAACACAGAGGAACCAACATTTTACTCAGAAATATCAGTATTACTATTGCTTTGGTCTTCCCTTCAAAAATCATGTAAGGCATGCAACTCACTTTGAAGTTTTGATGGCTTTTAAATTAAGAACAAGTATTTGTCCTATAGTAAATAATGTCAGGAAGTATTAACAGTAGGCAATGACAGAGTTTCTCCATAATTTGAAGCCTCAGAATTTTGTACCTATGCTTTCTGAAATTTTCATCTGAGTACTTGGTCAAGGAACCTGATCGTGTCTGAAACATGTAGGAAATATTCAAAAATAGTGATTTTTTTTAGTTTATTAGAGTTCTCTCAAATATACTATGCCACTTTCTCTGAGGAATATTTCTAAAGCAATATCACAAT